CAAAAAAAAAAAAAAAAAAAAAAAAAAGGGAAATCTCATACTGTTAGGACCATCTCTGTGAATTGCTGAGCACAGTCCCTGGTGCACACAATAGGCCCTCTGGAGTTCCCCCAGCTTTACTTAGTGATGTGAGTTTCTGCATTTCTGGACTCCCCTCCTTGCCAAGGCTTGTCTTCACATACCCTGCTCTCCACTGGTGCTGTTGGCCTTTACTCATGAGCCGGTGGTTCCCTTCCAGATGTCCAACATCACAGTCACGTACAGAGATGGCCGAGTGGCACAGCTGGAGCAGGTGTACATCCGTGGCAGCAAGATCCGCTTTCTGATTTTGCCTGACATGCTGAAAAATGCACCCATGTTAAAGAGCATGAAAAATAAAAACCAAGGCTCAGGGGCCGGTCGGGGAAAGGCTGCTATTCTGAAGGCCCAAGGTAGGTGCTCCTCGTGCACTGGTTGTGACATGTGGGTGTGTCGTGTACCTTTTAGAAATGCCCTGTTACTGCTGCGGCATGGGGGTGGACCTGACCTGAGCCATCTCCATACCCACTGTCACCCCTTTTCCCTGCAGTCTTGGGGGATCCAAGTGCCCTACCTTCTCTGTCTGCCTCACCTGATCCCATTCACAGGAGTTATGCAAAATCCAAAGTGGCTCCTTAGAAAGAAGATGGGGACTTAAATGAAAGAGTAGATAAGTCTCCTATAATGACTCTCTGGGAGGCCCTTTGTTTTCAGAAATTCTGGGGTGTCTGGGGGAAGCTTGCCCTGGTCTAGTTTGCTGACTAGAGGCACTGTGGTGTTGATTAGCTGACTCCTAAAGCAATGGGATAATAGTTCCTCTTGAGGCTGGGGATGTCTACTGATACGCAATATAAATAAGGGAAATGGGGGGGGGATCCACTTTCAGATAAGAAGTAAGCAGTTTTGAGCCATCTTTACCCATTAAAGGGGGCTGACTTCATTTTCAAAACTTCTTACATTTGAAAATAAGTCCTTCCTTTACCACTTTCCAAAAGTGGGACTAGCCTCTTCCCAGTGACTTGGTCTGACCTCATTTCTTGGTTAGCCCAACCAGAGTTTTGTATGTGGGTCCTGAAAAGTTCTGTCATGTTGATTAGCTAAGAAAGCAAATGCAGTCGCTAGGAACCGTCTTAGTATTTATTGGTAAAAGGCTTTACAGTGCAGGAAAGTCACCAGCGTCTCTGTCAGTATCTTTAGCTGCAGTACATACGTTGAGTTTAAAGACACAGTAGAGTAACCCTTTAAAATGCCCTCCAGAAAAACTGATGAGAGAATCTCCTTGCCCTTCCTGGAAGAGAGATAGTTGTGGGGAGATGGGACCAAAGCTCTGGACCTTTGTCCTGGAGAAGGAACTATTTTCAGAAGTTCCGGCTTTGTGCTACATCTGCTGTTCTCTCTGCTTCCTCAAGGAGGGCTGCCCTTGTTTTCACTGTGTAACGATACCATCTTCTCTAGCAAAGGGAGGAGCCCAGTGGCCATGCACTAGAAGGCGCTTGGCAGTGAGTCTGCCTCGGCCCACTGACCTCTGCCTGAGCCACTGTGCCTGTGCCAGCCCCAGGGTCTGTAAGAGGAGAGGGGTGAGGCTCCAGTTAGTAGCCGTCAGGATATTGTCACCTGTTCTTCAAAGCCACTGGTCTCCTAGAACCTTTGGGTCACAGAGAACAGCAGTCTTTATGTGGGGAGTGGTTTTGGTTTTTTCCCCCATTCCAAAATATTTCACACCTGCAAAATAGCTCGAAGAATAATAAAACCCCTCACCCAGATTTAATAGATATTAACATTTAACATCTGTTTGTTTCAGAATTTTAAGTGTGAATTAAATGCATCTGTCATGTTTTATTAGCTCACCCTGGGCCAGCTCTGAGACGTCACCATTTCTATGGTTCCCATACTGGGTCCCCAAATCACCTTTGCCACAAGGCCTTGCCTCTGGTGGGGAACAGTGCCGGGCTGGAAGGCAGGAGTCCAGGGCTCTCCAGCTCTGAAGGCAGGAGTCCAGGCACCTGCCCCTCCCAGGGTCTCTGTTTCCTCCGTGAAATGTGACGGGGTGAGCGTGGTGCTGGACCGGTGGCCTTTCAGGCCCCTTCCTGGGCCATGTCCTAGGGCTCTGGCAGCTCTGTGATATGAGTCCTTACTGACCTGGCCTTGTCCTTTCTCTTCCCCACCTTTCAGTGGCCGCAAGAGGGAGAGGACGTGGAATGGGACGTGGAAACATCTTCCAGAAACGAAGATAAATTTATCTGTTGGACAGAACTTTGCCCTTATTGTTTTCTTTTAGGTTATCTGGGTCGGGGTGCGTGTGTATGTATATGTCCTAGGTTATCTTTTAACATCTTTTTCTTTAGATCTGGGTAAATGTGAAACTAAATAATTGTGGTGGGTTTTTTTCTTTTTGAGAATATAAGGACTATGTGTTCATTTTGTAGTTTTTTTTTGTGTGTGTGTGTGTTTGCTTTGGCAGCAGGTTAAACTTTCACACCCTGGGATATGTCCTGCATTTTTCCAGTTTGAAGTAGCATAGTTACTGATAAGAGCATAAGCTGCCGTTACAGGCCAGTTGCTGGTTAAGCCCTTGGAACAACTCCGAGGGTGCACAGATTGCCTCGTTCGTCGGCACGGACATTCATGCAGCACTTTGTTCAGGCAGCCTTTGTGGGCGCACCATCAGCTCAGCTTGAACAACAACACACATGGTCATGGTCTGTGAAAAAAACCTAATACTGTGACCTTGTAGCCTGGAAACCCCAGTGACTCAGCATTTAGCAAAAGTAATCCAATATTAAAAGGTAATTCAGGGCTTCCCTGGTGGCACAGTGGTTACGAATCTGCCTGCCGACGCAGGGGACACGGGTTCTATCCCTGGTCCAGAAAGATCCCACATGCCGCAGAACAACTAAGCCCGTGTGCCACAACTACTGAACCTGCGCTCTAGAGTCTGTGCCACAACTACTGAAGTCTGCGCGGCTAGAGCCCGTGCTCTGCAACAAGAGAAGCCACCACAATGAGAAGCCCGCGCACCGCAACGAAGAGTAGCCCCTGCTTGCCGCAACTAGAGAAAGCCTGCGTGCAGCAGCAAAGACCCAACACGGACAAAAATTTTTTTAAAAAAAGGTAATTCAGAGAGTCCTAGTGGCTGCTGTACTGGCTTCATATTGCAGTTTTGTGGTGATTCAGGGGACAGGTTCTTGTGTGTTTATCAGAGCATCTCAGCATGGACTGGCACAGCTGCAGATCTTAATGCAGCGAAGGTAACTAAAGAGCACAGGGTGTGCAAAGTGAATAGCTGACAAAAGCACAGAAATTGGGAAAGCAACCTGGAGAAGTCAGACACTGAAGAGAGGTCTTGCAGGGATTCCATGAAGGATGAGCTACAGCAAAAACTATTGAGGAAAAGGGATCAATTATCGGCCCTTAGAATGTTGCTCATTGAACAGATGGTTCAGGTACTGGAGAGAGGAAGAACCTACATCAGGCAGAGATTTTTTATTTTTATTGGAGTATAATTGCTTTACAGTGTGTGTTTCTGCTGTAGAACAAAGTGAATCAGCTATAGCCCCTCCCTGTTGAGCCTCCCTCCCACCGCCCATCCCACCCCTCTAGGTCATCACAGCACCGAGCTGAGCTCCCTGTGCTATACAGCAGGTTCCCACTAACTAGCTATTTTATACATGGTAGTGTATATATGTCAGTGCTACTCTCTCAATTCGTCCCACTCTCTGTGTCCACAAGTCCGTTCTCAATGTCTGCGTCACTTTTCCTACCCTGCAAATAGGTTCATCAGTACCATTTTTCTAGATTCCATATGTATGCGTTAATGAACGATATATTTTTTTTCTCTTTCTTCAATCTGTATGACAGACTCTAGGTTCATCCACATCACTATAAATGACCCAGTTTCGTTCCTTTTTATGGCTAATACTCCGTTGTATATATATACCACATCTTCTTTATCCATTCATCTGCTGATGGACATTTAGGTTGCTTTCATGTCATGGCTATTGTAAATAGTGCTGTGATGAACTTTGGAATATATGTATCTTTTTAAATTATGTTTTTCTCAGGGTATATGCCCAGTAGTGGGATTGCTAGGTCATATGGTAGTGCTATTTTTATTTTTTATTTTTTATTTTTAAATTTATTTAATTTATTTATTTTTGGCTGCGTTGGGTCTTTGTTGCTGCACGCAGGCTTTCTCTGGTTGCCGCGAGCGGGGGCCACTCTTTGTTGCGGTGTGTGGGCTTCTTATTGCAGTGGCTTCTCCTGTTGCAGAGCACTGTCTCCAGGCACGCAGACTTCAGTAGTTGTGGCTCGCGGGCTCTAGAGCACAGGCTTAGTAGCTGTGGCACACGGGCTTAGTCGCTCCACAGCATGTGGGATCTTCCTGGACCAGGGCTCGAACCCGTGTCTCCTGTGTTGGCAGGCAGATTCCCAACCACTGCACCACCAGGGAAGCCCCTATTTTTAGTTTTTTAAGGAACCTCCATACTGTTCTCCATAGTGGCTGTATCAATTTACATTCCCACCAACAGTGCAAGAGGGTTCCCTTTTCTCCACAACCTCTCCAGCATTTATTGTTTATAGATTTTTTTGATGATGGCCATTCTGACCAGTGTGAGGTGGTACCTCATTGTGGTTTTGATTTGCATTTCTCTAATAATTAGTGATGTTGAGCATCTTTTCATGTGTTTGTTGGCCATCTGTATCAAGTAGAGATTTTCTAGTAAGCTTTGTCTTGTGGTTATGACACAACCACGTGGTGACAGACCTTGTATCATTCCTGTAATAAGAACTTGAGGACAGTGAGCATCATTGGGTCTGTCAGCTAACAGGACCGTTCCCCCCCCGAGAGCAGCCCCTGTGTTGTGTCTCTTGCTCCCCCACCCCAGCTCCTCTGATATGTTTGGATGCAGTGTGGCCAGTGGACCCACAAGCAGTGCTGCTCCAGTGGAGGGTTTCCTGCACGTGGGGTGGTTTCCAGTGAACTCACTTTGGAAGGGAGTTAATTTGTTTTACATGTGACCAAGAGTTAACTTGTTTCTGATAAGAAAAGAAACATGCACATTGAGTTACATATAGAAACTATACATATAGTTTCTTTCAGGTAGAAGTTATGATACCCATAGTGCCCTGTCTGGAATACCCTCCCCCTTCCTCTTGATTTAGACATTGATTTATTGGCTTCTTAATTGAGCCTCCTGAATTAGTAATATAGTGAGTGAGAGCAGTGGTTTCCACATCAGCTAGAGATCTTGTTAGAAGTGAAGGTTCCACAGCACCACCCCTAGAGGTGCCTATTACTTGGTCTGGAATTTGAACCCAGGAATCTGCATTTTAAACCATGCCCTTGCCACCACGGCTCCATGATTCTAATTCGGTATATCCAAGGCCACATTTTGACCCTGGTCTAGAGTGTGTTATTTTATATAAGTGCTACATTTTTTAATTTTAATTTTTGGCTGCACCACATGGCTTGTGGGATCTCAGTTCCTTGACCAGGGATTGAACCCGGGCTCTCAGCAGCTGAGTCCCAAACTGGACTGCTAGGGAATTCCCTGGAAGTTTTATAAAACAATAAAGAAGATTAACCTAAAACATAGAGCTTTATAAACAGTTTTATGTCCTGCACTTTAGAAAAAATCAGTTATTCACATTGAAAGAGCAAATAGTTCTGAGAGGCTTATTATGAAAAACAGCAGCCCTCCTGCCCTGTCTGACCCTCTCCCCCATTTCCCCTGCTTTTGGGGAGTCCCTTTCAACTCTTGGCTGGTTGTTTGTATTTGCCTCCATGTCTCAATTTAAACCTGTTTGTATGGCTACTCCTTGATATTTCGTTTTAGGCATTTATCTTTCAGCTTCTCCTTCCTCCTGCCCACCATGCATGGGCTCCCCATCGCCCATCTCCCTGATATTATAATTCTGGTTAGATTGTATTCAGTATTTATGTTATTAGGGCTGGGTATTTAAATCACAGCTGAGCCAGGTGGTAGACCAGATTACTTTCCTGCAGAACTAACTTTTTCCTAGAATTAATTCGCTTACATTCTTATTGGCTTAATTTTCTGTCAACTTATCACTGGTTTAACCTCAGACTTCTCTGTAGACATTAATACATCATATATTTGATCAGTTTCTTCTTGATTGGCCCCACTCTGGACTGGCTTTCCTTTGTGCCTGAGGTATTGCCGTTATCATGGACTTTCCTCTGTTGAATCTCCTGTTTGTATAACCTCTTCCTCTCATGGTTTATTACCTCGTCCAGTAGAGATCTGCTGTGGAAGGGGTGCATGGGAAGTAATTTGTTGAGCGACGTTGCGTGTCTGAAAGTGTCTTGTTCTCTCATATTCGATTGAGTATGAAATTCTAGTTTGGTGTTCGTTTTCCTTTAGAAGTTTGAAGGCATCGTTACTTTTTCATCTAGCATCTTGTGTTACTGTGGAGAAGTCTGAGACTGTTTGAGTGCTTGACCTTTGCATGTGACTCTCTCCCTTCTGTTGCCAGTGTTCCGAGATTCACACTGACGTGCCTTGGCAAAGGTCTGTTGGTGCATTGTGCTAAGGCTCTTGCTGAACCTTTTCAGAATGGACTTTAATCCTTCATTTCTGGGAAACTTTCTTGAATTACTTGTTAATGATTTCCTACCTTTGGTTTTCTGATTTTGCTTTCTGGAATTGCTGTTATTCAGATGTTGGATCTCCTGGACTTACCTGTTTTTCTCCTCTTTTCTCTCCTTGCCACCCCTATCCCCCATTTTCTTGTTTTTTGATCTCCTTTGTAGATTTCCCCAAGTTGATTCTCTGAAGCTTCATTTTTCTTTTTTTTAATTTTAAATTTTTATTTATTTATTGGTTGCATTGGGTCTTCGTTGCTGTGTGCAGGCTTTCTCTAGTTGCAGCAAGTGGGGGCTCCTCTTGTGGGGGCTTCTCAAATTTTAAATTTTTATTTATTTATTGGTTGCATTGGGTCTTCGTTGCTGTGTGCAGGCTTTCTCTAGTTGCAGCAAGTGGGGGCTCCTCTTGTGGTGCATGGGCTTCTCATTGTGGTGGCTTCTCTTGTTGTGGAGCACGGGCTCTAGGCGTGCAGGCTCAGTAGTTGTGGCTCATGGGCTCTAGAGCGCAGGCTCAGAGTTGTGGTGCACGGGCTTCGTTGCTCCGCGGCATGTGGGATCTTCCTGGACCAGGACTTGAACCCATGTCTCCTGCACTGGCAGGCGGATTCTTAACCACAGCGCCACCAGGGAACACCAGTCCTGTTTTGTTGTTTTTAGTAGGACCTTGGGACTTCCCTGGCGGTCCAGTGGTTAAACTCCGTGCTTCCACTGCAGGGGGCACGAGTTCAAACCCTGGTTGGGGAACTAAGATCCCACATGCCGCGCAGCGCAGGCCAAAAAAAAAAAAAAAAA